TAACAATGGAGGGGGGACTCAAGACCCTTTCTTGGTGAGGGGGAGTGTATTTAGCAGAATTTTTCACGTTGCGATGGCGTGCTCTAGGCGCAGCGGGGACATTCGTGATTGCCAGTGGTGCCACTTGGTAAGGATATAATAATCAGCAAAGGCTCGCAAGAGTCAGTGTGTCAGTGTTCGTTTCAAATCTGTACACATTACAACTACGTTATGATGACCACGGCTTACGTAGTGAAGGGCAAGGGTAGGAGTGAGGTTTACTAAATGAATGCGTTACGTGATAAGAATATGTGAAGATTGCTTCAGTAAAGCTTCAGGAGCCCTCATTCTTATTTCGCTACTGTTACCGTCGGAACCTTTTCGACCGCTAAATTCTTTCGTACTTCACGAAAGGCAAGTACCTTCGATAAGTGACACCCACAGGGCTTTAACGAATCATTATTAGCAAAGTTAAATAAGAAGATACTGTTGACTTTGAGCTCTCCAGGGTTTTCAATAAGATGAGCGCAGTAGTGCGCGTGAGCAAGATTAGTTTCAGTAGGAAGCTACTCAGGACTAACTCTGAATGCTAGCTTCAATCCTCCATTGTCAGCAATGTTGTCTCCTTGAGTGAGTTTACCATTCAGCTTCAGAGCAGTGCATGGCACCTGTGAAATTCCGCATTTATAGGACTAACAGATTGACTGATTCAAAGGACGTGACTACCGCTTCGACGCTGACGAACCTCAATCCTCCCATATTGATCGATCATACACTGTACTCGCTCCCGAACTTTTGCGTAGTGTTCGCGTCCCACCAATCGCGAAGGTTACCGAACGCGTCAAATTGCTTACCTAGCTCATAGTATTAATTGATATCAGACACGCACGCAACGGTAGCTTTAGGTCCACGAGACTACTACTACTACTACTACTACTAGTACTAATGTTCTTGTTTCCCGGGCAAAAAGATTGCCATGAGTATGAAATATGTAGGCTGTGAGGTGCGCTTCCTCCGAAGTAATCGAGAAGTTATCGGTACACGCAATATTATGAATTTTTGAGATGGTTCTGAGATAGCAAATCAGTGTTCTGAAGACCGTTAGAATAAAATATTCGACACCTACTGAAGGGTAGACGCAGCATGACCGGTCGCAGGCTGATTCCAAGTCCACTCGAGTCAAATTCGTGGCCAAGTTCGATCAAATCAGTGAGATAAATACTGGTCAACCAATTGCCGAAGGAAAATTGAGTGTGCCAATGGGAAACGTGAGGCAAAAATCCTGTGTTTAGCTCGGAGAATCAGAGGATCGAAGAAGATGCCATTGCCACTCACCCAAACATTGAACGGTGGGGGTGAGATCCAATTCGCTATCCATTCTGAACGCTCCTATGTTAGTGAAGTCTACGTTGGTCCGGTAGAGCGATCTCTAAATTGACTCTTCGATACCCTGTGCTGAACAGCGGCTTTTAACCACACACCTCTCATTTAACCTTTGGCACACTTACAGTTTATTCGGCACTGCATTTAGTTGTACTTTCTTGTTAATTCTATCGCGTGCGAGCAGCGGGTGATCCTTTCGGGTGGATGAGTAGTCTGGCGGTCTTCAAAACGCTGATTCAATGGAAAATGGAATGAATGGAAAAAGAACGATTCCAGTGGAGAATGGCTAGCTGAGCCCGAATCCGAGAGTAAAATCAGTAATGCAGAAGAAACGGACAACCAGTACCTCCGTCATCAAATCCGTGAGTGATTTCGTGCCCTATCGTAGCTCCAAGTCCTCCGTAGTTGAGCGCTCTGTGAAATCTCTACATGTTGTTCACTTCAAACGACTGTATATCTGAGGTTGATCCAATTTTGAGTCGAAAAACGGCGGACAAGGGGGACTGGCGTTCGAAAGGGTATTCACATTGTCACGCTGCGATATCGCCATATACACCATTTTCACTTTCACACAAAGCCCCGCCATTCTGGTCACGCCCACTTTTGTGTTTTTCGTGGAATTAAAATTTTTGTTCGGAGTTTTTGCTTTTTAGGGGTAGCAAGTGACTCCGCCCACTAGTAGAAGCTTCGCCAACTTTTGAAATTTGATGTAAAACAACAGGCTAGAATCCGTAGCGGCAGTTTATGGCCTCTCCCGTCACACAGAATGAGAAAAAAGCGGAACTCACTCTGAGTGACGGGAGAGGCCATTGGCTGTCAGTCGGACACTAGCCCGCCAATCTGCAACATTTTTGAAAAGTGGGCGGAGCTTCTAAAAAGTGGGCGGAGCTTCGCTAGCGGGCGGAGCCACTTGTTACGGCATAAAGTAGCGAAAATTCACAAGAAAAGTCAAAGTTCTGCTATAAACCCAAAAGCGGGCGTGGTAAGAAGGGCGGAGCTTACTGTATAGTGTGGGTGCATGGCTATGATTATTCCGTTTTGTGAAGATTGAATGTGAAAAGAACAACGTCGAAAAAAGTTATAAAAATTCAGAACTTACGCAACTTCATTGTGAAGTGGGCGGAGTCATATATGTGTCGGTACCAATCCTATTCAGTTGAACTGTGTGTGTGTGTGTGTGTGTGTGTGTGTGTGTGTGTCAAGTAGCAAAAGTGAAAAAAATTCGAAGAAGCAGAATTCACATTTTGGAGAACCATGGCCGCGCTAAGAAGTGGGCGGGGATGTTGGGGCGGGGCTTGCAGCAGTACCTAGTGTGGTCTAGTTCTCAACTGCCTATTGTAAGGGGTGTGTCCGATTTGATTTGAAGTGTCCGATTTGGTTTGAAAAGTGTCCGATTTGGTTTGAAAAGTGTCCGATTTGGTTTGAAAAGTGTCCGATTCAAAGTGAAAATGGTGTCTATGGCTTCGATACATATGAGTACTGTCATAAACCCTCTAGAACATAAGGGGTAAGGGCGTACTGAGGTGCAGCACGCGTACCTTCTTCTATAAGTGATGGCGATACATATACTTACAGTCACGTCTTTCCAACAAAGATTCTGGGCCCCCCACAATTGGCTGCATTTCAAGGCACTTTCCCGCTCCGCCTTACGTCCTATCAGTTGTAGAATTATGACTGCAACTGAAGGGTTGTTTTCATAGGGCGAGTCTGTTCAATGTTTACCTTGGAAAGGAATGATGAAGACTGGCGCTTGAAGAAAAGCAGCAGGAAATTCTGAAATGCGAAAGCATAAGAGGACCTGCTCCTGGAACTTCTAGTACAGCTTGAGCATTGACAACATTGATCTGCTTACTTATCGAGTTCGACCTGGAGTCGTAGTAGGCGTTGACAACTGCAGCATTGAAATCGTACTCAGTTCGATCGACGGGCTTAGAAAGGCGCTTCAAATCGTATTCTATATTCCATCGTGACAGTTTCTCTACCATCTGGCTGTACGAATCCGTTTCTTCTACGGAGAACTGAAAGTCAATTTATGCAACATCAGAAAAAATGTCCGGTACCAATCCAGAAGCAAGAACCACATAATGAAAGTTTGCTTTAGATGCTAATGATTCTCGAACATCCAGTTGAAAGCCCCTCTTATAGTCACTAACGTTGTCATAGTAGTTGTCCAATTTCCTGCTGTTGAGGATGAACTCTGGGTACGCGACTTGAATCAACATCTCTTGCAATTTCCCAGAAGCAGCCTGGAATAGAATGAAAGTCTTCCACAATTATTAGCTGTCCCTACAAATTCCCAATGCGAATGAAGGTCCATAGACCAAGTGTGTGACTTTCTCTTTCGGAGTGTTCCCCTACAGTTCACATGAGCTTTTCATCGTGTGTTTTCTCCGACGACTTCCACAACGTCGAAGATATTTTCAATTGAAACCGGGGAACACTTCGCATATTTTGGCTCGAGTACAAAACAGCCTGATCATGCAGTTCATCATGTGTTACAGTGTGCTATATACACTGGTGTGCAAAACTTAGGGACGAGATGGATAAAGTAACATAAAACACTAATGACTGGGTGGAAGTAAATGAAAGTGTGGGAGCATGTTGCCACTCGCCTAAGGGATATGCACAGGAAGCTAGACTTTTCTCGGTGGAAGAAGAGCTTGAAAATATGGCCGACCGCGCAAATCGAGGCAGTCTATGGGTAATGAAAAAAATTTTTTTTTCTCAATCAACGAGTAGCTGCAAAGAACTGTGGTAGTATCCTTCGATACATCATGTCCCGAAGAGAGCATTTGGATGACTTGTCGAGGAGAGGATCTAGGGAACTCGAAGAAGGTCGAACCATGACGAGTGTAGCCCAGGAGTTCGGTATCGCTCACAGCGTTGTTTCACGTGCATGGAGAGCGTTCCGAACCTTTGGTACTGCTGCCCGAAGACGAGGAGGTGGCCGACCAAGGACAACTACACCAAGGGACGACCGCTACATTGTGCAGCAGGCAAGAAGAGATCCTCGTCAGTCGGCTTCGGCTATTGCAACGACGTTTAACAGGACTCTAGGGCAAGCCATCTCACGCACTACAGTGGCAAGACGACTGCATGGTGGTGGTCTCTTCGCCCGACGACCGTTACGTTGTGTTCCTTTGACCCCGCAACACCGCAGCATCGGAGACCGTTAACTGTTGGTGCCAGAAACATGGCGAATGGACCGATGAGGAATGGAGCCGTGTGCTCTTTTCGGATGAGAGCAGGTTCAGTCTGAGCAGTGATTCTGGACGCACCCTCATATGGCGAGAGGTGGGAACACGCAACTCCCCCGGAAACATTGTCGAACGTGATCGTACTGGTGGTCGAGGTGTTATGGTATGGGGAGGCATCATGTTGCATGGCCGTACTGACCTCCAAATTTTTGAGCATGGAACCCTCACCAGTCAGCGTTACTGCGACGAGGTTCTCCTACATCATGTCCGTCTTTCAGAGCTGCAATCGCCCTTGAATCCATTTTTCCATGGATGGCAATGCGCGAGCGCAATACGAAACAGCAAGGTGGAAGGGACTTCCTAAAACAGTGGATATCCGGCCGAATGAGTGGACCCGCGTTCCCCCGACGATCAAACGCATTGTAGCATTTTCGTGTGAGATACACTTTGTAGACGCATTGCAGCACGACCAAATGCACCAATGACGATCCAGCAATTGTCAAATGCACTGATTGAGGAGTGGAATGCCCTGCCCCAGGAACTCATTACCAACCTCGTGGAGAGTATGGGATCGCGGTGCAGAGCATGTATTGCTGTCCGTGGTGATCACACACCCTATTAGGATCCGTGTAACTTCTTTTGTAGTACCAGGATAAATCGTGAAGACTTATGTGTAAACGACATGGTTGAATAAAAATGTCATAACAATTCGCCTTATTCCGAGTTTCTGTCAGTTGCTTTCTGTACAATATCGTTAAGGTTCTCTCTTGATATGATATGAATTTCATCGAGCTATGTTGTCTGGCAGAGGCACAGTGATCGAAAGGTATGTGACAAGAGGATCGTAATTTGCCGCGCTGCTGGGCGTCGCGTGCGACGTCCCGCCCGCAAAGGACGATGGTTTCAGGCAGTAGATGGCGACAACATGCAATTAAGGACCGAAAACAGTAATGAGTGTCTACGATGACGGGGTCTACATGAAGTCCGGTGCTTCATTCGACAGGTTAAAACGAGTTATGAAAACGCCGCGCCCATCGCCGCGCGTGGCGGTGCGGCGAATTACGATCCTCTTTACCGTCTCCCGTGATCGAAAAGTTGCTTTCGTCCCTAAGTTTTGCACACCAGTGTACGCGTGTCTACAGGGGGGGGAAAAAAAAGTCATTTTGCCTCCATGACTTTCAAGGCGCTATAAGTTACACTTTATTAAATTTTTATCGGACATTTTTACTACCATATTAAAGAGCACATTAAATACTATAATGATACTCCGCCACAGCCTTCTGGAGGAGCGCCATCGAGAGATTCGGCCGCGCGAAAGTGAGTGGGTACCGGAGTTGAGCGAGATCGTTGATTTCTCCGCCACTGTAGACCAGCTCCGCCCGAACTAGGTAATTGAGTGGGTTCAGGTCAGGGGACATACTTCAATATTACATCTTCTTCAGGTACGAAACGCCCTTCCATTCGAAGTAGGCGGGAGTTTTTCCAAAACCCTTCGATTCCATGTGGTGGCACCCAAACCTGTAGCAGCACAAGGTCTCCAAGAAGGTACGGGCGACCACATGTAGGGAGGATATCCTTCTCGAGTTACTTGATGTAACCGCCAGCGCTCACCTTCAGTCGGGGTCTACAAAGAAAATATCGGTCTTCCCATTCCAGGTACCCGGTCCACACCATCAACCCGCGCCTTGGTGAATGGGGTGAAGATGATGTCCTGGACCGTAGCGACGTTGCCGGAGCTGCTCGATGTTTGAGGTCTTGCAGATCAAGAGTACTGGTCTCCAGGTAGCTATCCATGGGTGATTCCATTCAAGAAGTTCCGCAGCTGTTTGGAGGCCACGTGAATTCCAAAGGCGTTCTCCACTCAGGCCGCGACTGGAGATGACTTCATATTTTGGTGTACATGAAGGTGAATGGCGGCAGCCGGCTCCTGCTTATAGAGGAAGATCTTGGGTATCTTCCGCCCTGGTACTCATATCCACTTCCTCTGTCTGGGCTGCGAAAACTTCGCTCATATGTGACTCGGCCGGAATGACTTTTTTTTGCCCCCCTGTATACTATGAGAGGGATCTGCGTAGTACTGTAATCTCATAGCTCGTAGAAAGACAAACGGCTCGTTGTCACGGAAGGATACACAGAAAAAAAGGCAGCACTGGCTATTACATTGTTGAGGATCCAGTGATCTACGACTAGCGTCGATACGTGCAGTCTTGCTATCCCAAACTAAGCACAAATGTACAAGGGGGGGGGGGTCTGACTGAGCTACGCTTGGTTACACAGTATGCTCCTCATGTAAACACACTGATGAAGGTTTCAGAGGCATGGTTACTGTGCAGGTGAAGATCAGAAGCTCTGATTATATCCCTATTTGGACCTACACTTTTTTGCGTTGAACCTTGCGGTTATTGCGACCACATAGCAAACCGAAAAAAAAGAAATCTCACTCTCGTGCAACTGTCTCTGCTTTTCCCTGGATCTCGTATTACCAAAGTCATGGTCTCTGAAAGTTGAAGACCCGTTGGAGACTGTTCAAGAATGTTTAGTTTCGGAGAAAATCGCCCACGACAGAACTCTCAATGAAAGACTTTTGCGAAAATGCAGTGGTCACTAGCTTACATATTCTCTTTTTTTCTTTTTTCCGTTTTTTCTTTTGTCCCTTTTACTGCGTTGTTGAAGTAATGTTCCGCAAAAAGCTCGCACCCTCGATGAACTTCCATCGTTAACTTTGATACAGAGCCGTGAGACCCCCTTCGAAACTGTTTTAGTAGATGCCATATGGATGCTTTTGAGAGAGCACCTGTCATTTTGTAAAATTCTGTCTATTGAAGGGAATATAACCATCGGAAAACTCCGCCCTTCTGATGTTCGGATTCATAATACTCTTTTTCATTCAGCACAAGGAGGAGAGAGGTCTTAGCGACACACTACATTCAGGGGGCTCGTACTGACATAGCAGTTTTTCTTAATGTGATACTACATCGTGCTGAGCAAATTGTAACATTGCATCGAGTCCAGGGCAGTAGCGCAGCGCGGCATGAGCTCGTGTTCGTCTGCCTTGCTCTATCAATGATGATCGAGCACTAGCCGATGCAGGAAGGAAACAACCACTAGTGGTAACGCCACAGGCGGATGCCGACTGATTATAAACACTCAGTTTCACCTGGAAACTATATGTTAGTTTGGTCTTTGAGTAATGGCGTTTTTTTCCGCACACAAATTTTCTTATGAAGAGCGGGATTTTTTCACTATCTTCTATGCTGTTCGGTAGATAATTTTCCGTTCTGTCGAAAATCTAATTGCCTTCCTACCACTTTCTTGATTTCTGTCGATTTTTATTCTATTGAAATGGAGTGTCGGGTCGACACAAAGTGAATTTTCGACAACAACATTTGCACTTTATCTCGGCTTTCAAATTGCAGGAGAAGTTGTGGTATCTATGGATGATAAAAAAAGATGACCCAATTTTTTGAAATTTCGAGAACTTTGGAATCTTGGTCGATATCGATGACCAAGCAAGTGGTAGTTGTAGAACATTCTCGAACCTTCTCCATAATGGGTATATAAAGCTGGGCTGCTTCCTATAGCTTTAATCACGATGGCAATCACACAAGAGCTAATTCGACACGTCATCTACTACGAATGGCTTCGCGGGACCGGAGCGACGGCAACCGTTCAAAACATCAACAGCACATTGGGAGAGGGCACCACTTCTCTTAGCACGGTCAAGCGCTGGTTCGCTCGCTTCGAAGAAGGAGACACGAACTTCGAAGATAAGCCTCGGTCGGGACGCCCCCACACAGTCGACGACTTCGCCATTCTCGACGCCGTCAAGGAGGATCCGGAACTCAGCACCCGCAGTCT